AGAAGAAGAAGAAGAAGAAGAAGAAGAAGAAGAAGAAGACGATTATGACAATGATGGTTGATGTTTTTTTAGTATTATGAACAATGTTAGTTAACTACTTATTGTGATATTAAACTTGAATTTGATGTTTTGAATTTGAACAATGGTACCTAGTTAATGTATTTCAATTGATATATGCTGCAATATTTTTTGGATTTGTTAAAAATGCAGGAATTGTAATGTACAAAACCTGTAAAGCTAAAAAAAAAAAACAACCAGTAGCTATCCCGACAACAAGTCGTCGCTATAGGTCCATAACCGACAAATGTTAAAAACCCTATAGTGACGACATGTCATCGTAATAGCTTAGACCTTTCGTGACGACAAGTCGTCGCTATAGGTATCCCGACGACAAGTCGTCGCCACAGGTTTATAATAAAACTTTATTTTTTTTTCCGAAAATATGGTTGACAAAAGTTGTACCGTCAACGTGTTATCGCAATAGGTAAAGTTATGCCGACGACATCTATGTCGACGGCGTAATAGACCTATGCCGACAGGCCTGTGCCGACGACATGTCGTCGCCATACCCTATACCGACGACATGTCGTCTGGATAGGGTCCGAATTTGTTGTCGCCATACGGTCCAAATGTTGTAGTGTTTCAACTTCGAGACCCAAGTGAAAATTGTGTTAGCTTCAATGGCGATTCACAATTACATTAGAATGAACGGTAATGGTGATGCAGCATTTCAGATAGCGCAAGAAGAATCTTATATTCCGCGCAATGATGAAGGACCCGATGATGGTACTGAGCCACATGACGAAGTATCAAGTGGACAACGTATAAATGACGATATGTATATGAGTGCAGTACGCGATATGATTGCGGGACAGATTTTCTCAAGGTCAAACACTCGTGCACGTAATGACGTATGATTTGTTTTGAAACTCATTGGTATTTTCATTTTATGGTTTAATGTAGTAGCATGAAACTATTTTGGATAATATGGAATCTGTTATAACTGTGTGTGATGGATAATATGGATTTGGAATGATTTTTGTGGTCTCATATAGGTTTGCATGATAAATGTTTTTTTAGTTCTTATGGATAAGAAAATCTTGGTCTCATGTAAAAATAGGTGTAAAAATAATGTTCTAAATGTTTTTTTAGTTCTTATGGATAAGAAAATTATTATTATTATTTAAAAAACAAAATTGTTTTGTTTTAATAAGAAAAATATGTTAACATATAAGAGGAAGCCCTTTTTGATCATTTTATTCATATAAGTTGTTTTGTTTGTCAAACACTTAAAAATGTTTATTGCTTATTGCTTTTTCCTACCACAATAAGTTAATTCAAACACTTTTTAAAAAACTGTTTATTCCCACCTCAAATAAACTAATAAACTAAAAATTAATTTATCCAAACACCCCTGAAACAATTACGACCATAAAAAGAATTACTCATATATAGATACTCTCAACTGTCAAGCTAATTAACATTCTCCTACATGCTACATCCATCTACTGATTGTTCTTGTTACATGAAAGGGAAAACATCCGATTTTCTTTTCAAAATGGAGGAGGAGGATGATATGAAAACCTCTGGTTCCAGTAGGACAGTAACCCAATCTAGTTTCATTAAATGCACAACTTGGTCATGAAAAATTTGAATTCTAATTTTATTTTTTATTTTATTTTATTTTATTTTTTTTATTTTTTTAACTCAACTAAGTTATAAGTATCATGAATCCACACGTACACGAGGCTTAGTCTAAGTGACTAAGTCAACAAGCAAATAATAAATGAGATTAATTGCCCTTTCACCCAACTGAACCACTTGCCAGCCCTATATATAACTCAAGCAATGACACTTCCCAGACAAACCTGCAACTTTTCAGTTCTTTAACAAAAACACACGCCGTTGATCTTT